TTATCCCTCCTTTCCGTTTCTGGGTTATCGCCTGCCTTTCCGCTAACCCCGCGAACCGACTCGTCGGTAATATTCAGTCGGCTAATGGTTAAACCTCGTTAGCTCCGCTCCGTTCGGCTCCGCCAATTGCGGAACCGTCTCCGCTGTAACCATATATATATCCCACTTGTACATAGGTTACGCCCCAGTAGAAAAATCAACTAGAGTTACCCCCCCTAGGTTCTAATTGCCAGTCAGTAAGTTAGGGCACGGACGTGTCACTAGGCACAGCGCTCTTGGCAGAAGTCGCTGAGGCCGAAGCCCTCCGTTACGGAGACATTCCTTCGTCTCGACCCTGGTCTCTGACACCCTTCATGTGACTTCCGGGTATCCCCGGAAGTTTTCCTGATATGGTGGCCACTGTGGGAAGATGAGAAGTTAGCTTCCTTCTCATCTTCTTACCCACAGTAGGCAAGTGTACATACTTGCCCCTTCTTTTATATCACTTTCTTACCCACAGTAGAGTTGTGCCCTGGACAGGGCTGTTCACAGGTTATGTAAACCACGAAAATACTGGCAGTGTAAGGTATAGTAGGTTATCCTGTATAACACTCGGCACTAGTGGCCTGGATGACAGTGGGGCAGTGAGACCATATAGCAGGCAGCCCTCACTCAGGCTTACATCCCTGTATGGCTTCTTAGGCTGAAGTGGGAAATGTTAGAATGAAAAGCTAGACTCAACTAAGGTACTTGCCTGAAGTGGGAAATGAGAAGAAGGTTGCTTCTTCAGTCCTGCTTTGGCTTAGTTTATATACATGTGAGAACGGGTCATGTGGAGGTGCCACATCAGCCCCGGGTGGAGCCAGGTTATCACAGGTGGCTCTGCAGTCGATCCTGAGTGTCAGAGAAGGGAAATACAAGTAGGAATGCGCAGCGTGTCTGGTGTCGGGGTGCTCAGCGTTGGATGCATCCATGCTACAGGTGTAGGAGAAAAAGAGAGGTCGTCCATATAAAGATAGAGAAGAAGGGAAGAAAGAGAGAAAGAAAGAAAGGGTGCAAGAGAGGAAAAGGAGAAGGAGAGGGCAGTGGCATGGCATGCCCTGACATCACCCCCCCCTTAAGCTGCTTTGCCTCAAAGTGGCTAGGGGGTTCTCTTGTTCTCTCCTGGGGGTGTCCAGGTGCACTCTGTTGAACTCCTTGATCTGGTTGCACACATTGGCCAGGTTGTCGAGGGGGAGCCATTCATTCTCGGAGTTTGGCCAGCCTGTGAACTTCACCAAATACCAGAGCTTTCTGTGGCGCCAGCAGGAGTCGAGGACCTTCTCAACTTTGTACTCTTCCCCCCCCCATCTATGATTTTGGGGCCTGGGCAGGGGTCAGCGGGTCATTCAGCGATCCCATCTGGGCAGTAGGGTTGGATGTTCGTTACTGACACTACTGGATGGACTCCCTTTTGCTGTGCTGTAAGTTGGAGCTTGATGGCAGCAGGGGATACAACCTTGAGAATTTTAAAGGGGCCTGTCCATTTGTGATCTAGCCTCTTGGTCAGGCAGTCTGTGGTGTAGTTTTGGGTACTGAGCCAGACTTGATCACCTTCCTTGTACTCAGGCGCTACTTCTCGATTCCGGTCATAGTAGCGGGCCATCTCCTCTGCTTCATGCTCTAGTGCCGCTTTCGCCTCCTCTTGCATTTTCATCATTCTTGAGGTGAATACATCTGCAGCCTCAACTTCTGACATGCATGTAGGTTCCATCCTGTCAGGGCCCAGCCTCGGACTCGGAGGCTCCCTGACCTCAACCCCCATCTGGCCTGTCCTCACACTATGTGGGGCATGAGATGTATAGTAAAAGGAAAGATAATATATACACTTGCCTATGCGGGGCATGAGATGAGAAGAAGGGTAAAGGTCTCATCTCCCCGCATGGTTGCTATATAAAGGAATGGGTCACATGCCCACAACTATACAGCTCCCAGAGTTGTGTAGTGTGACCCGGAGGGAACATCCAGGTGGCAGTGCCCAGTAAGCGTGGGAACGTTCTGGGCGAGTTGCTCACCCAGAACTGTGGCTGTGACCCGTGGGAACATTCTGGGCGAGCTGCTCGCTCAGAAAGTTCCCACGCTATCCCATGTGCGCGGATACACAACACAGAAAGGCAACAACAAGGCAACAATGAAGGAATGGAAGGAAGGGATTGGTTGGGGAGTCTGGGGCACCCTAGGGCAGGGTGCTGAACCCTGACACATCCCCATTCTGGGGTGCTGGTCAGTGTCGAGCTTGAAGGGGGTGTGGCAGGTGGATGTGTGGACGTGGTTGTTGTGGGAGAACTCCACTAGTGGGAGCCAGTCTGCCCAGTCATCTTGGCGGTGGTTGACAAACACTCGGAGGTAGGCTTCTATCTCTTGGTTCACCCGCTCTGTCTGTCCATCCGTCTGCGGGTGGTAGGGCACCAAGGGGGTCAGCTTGACTGCTAGCAGGGCTGCCAGTTCTTTGGAGAACTGGGAGACAAAGGCGCTTCCTCTGTCGCTGAGAATTTCCTCGGGGAGGCTGTGATGCTTCCAGACATGTTCAAGGAAAAGTTGGGCAATTCCCATTGAGTCTACTGTCGTGACTGTGGGGATTGCATGGATGCACTTGGAAAGACAATCCACCACAAGGGGATGGCATTGTAACCTTTTGACTCAGGGAGCTCTCTGATCATATCTACAGAGATCACCTGCTAGGGGCAGGTGGGGATCTTGTTCAGCATGAGTTTCCCCACCTTCCACGAGGGAAACGATTTGACCCAGTTGCAGGCGTCGCACCCTGCTACATAGTTCCCCATGTACTTTGCCATCTGGGGCCACCAGTAGTCATGGGAGACGAGTTCCAGGGTTTTCCATCACCCTGGGTGCCCCATCACCTGTGCATTATGGTGTAGCTGCACCGGGTCGTAGCGGAGTTGCAGGTCCTTCGGGATGTACACCTTTCCTCGGTAGAGGATCAATTCCCCGTCTCTGCCCCATTCATCCGACCTGAGTGTTCCATCTCCTAATTCCTTCAGCGCTTTCACCACACATATCCTTTCTAGGATGGTCATCTCTTCTCCCTCCACCGTGATGGCTTCAGTCACATGGGCTTTGAACCACTCCGGTTGCAGGAGGGTCAAGCTCTTGTTGTTGTCCTTCCCTTTTGGGTGGTTGGCATGGCAGGAGAGGGCATCTGGTTTTCCCATGAGCTTCCCTGGGCAGTGGATGAGGGTGAAGTGGAATCAGGATAGGAAGAGTGACCACTGTGCTTGGTGGCGATTCAGCCACTGTGCAGTGTGGAAATAGCCCAAGGTAGAGTGGTCGGTGCAGATATCGACCTTTTCTTCTGCTCCCTCTATGAAGTGATGCCACTCTTCTAGTGCTCAGACTATCATGAGCATTTCCTTATCGTAGATTTTGTAGTTGCATTCTACCTCAGTGAAGCTTTTGGACATGAAGGCTACGGGGTGGAACTCGCTGTCAGCTTGGAGCTGGGATAGGATGGCACCAGTGGCAAAGTTGGAGGCATCGCACTTGAGTTTGTAGTGGCCAGAGTCAGTGGGGAAAGCGAGGACGGGGGCAGAGGTGATGGCTTTCTTAAGAGTGTTGAAGGCGTTTTCTTCACTCTCTCCCCATTCCCAGACCTTTGCTTTGCAGGTTAGTGCATGGAGTGGGCGCACTGCCTCAGAGAAGTCCTTGATGAAGTGGCAATAGAAGATCACAAAGCCCAAGAAGGACTGCACTTCTTTCACCTTCGTTGGCATTGTAGGAGTGCATAACAGGTGTGCTCAATTTCATGGAACCTTATGCAGCAAATACGTCAAAATTGGGCTCCCACCCTTGTACATTATTAGGAAAAAGGAATCGTAGGAGGGAGTAATAAGAAAGAAGAAAAAGAGTTTTCGTACGAACCGAAAGAGCCTTTTGGCGAAGGAATTGGTTGAGATTTGGTGGAGAAATTCAACCTGAGATGTCCTCATGTGCGAAGTCCGTGCACTTGACCATGACCATGGGAACAAGGTCAAAAGTTGACAGAAGAGGACGATCTTGGAATCATTAAATCCAAAAAAATGCCCAAAGACTCAGTATTGAATTTCACCTTAATCGGTTGAGTGGTTGTGGAGATATTCTGATTGTTGGGCATGACAGGAGTCATGGGACAATATGAACTGTTTGGATGCTCATGTGCGAGCTAGTCTCAATGAAAATACAGGCTAGTCAAATGATATAAATGCTGAAGAAGTCATTGGAGGAGTCTTGGAATTATGGCATTTTATTTGGTCCAAGTTTCCCTGTGCACGGATAATCAAGATATGTATACCGCATCTGAGAATTCCCATTCTCAGTCAAATCTCCACCAAATTTCACAAAATCGGTATCGTTAGAAAGCTATGGATAAGGAGAGTCGAATGGAATAAAGGGACGGAGGTTTGACGCAGTGTTTGGAGTGGTATGAGGAAGTTTGTGTTTTTCTTTTCAATCTCTTTTGTTGTTTGGAATTTTATTCTAAGCCAATGGCAGCTGAACCTTACCGCCATTGTTGGTGGAGGCTTAGCTCAGCCAAACCCATATATTTCGGACTCTTTTCACAAATTGTATGTTTGCTGTATGGGTATATGTATGTAGCGAGTGGTACATAGAGAAAGAGGAAGTCAACCATAGAACAGAAATACAGTTATTCACCCCCGAATGAGACACATTTTACCAATCTGAAACCTGTTGTCGCAACACTCCATTAAAAAATCCCAAAAATTTGTAAAGTACGAAGAAAACAAACTTGTACCTATGAGTCCCCATAATATGGAGAATGTTTCATCACAAAGTGAGTACGCAAGTAAGTATGAAATCGGGGTGTTCACCCTCCTACGAGACATGTGACATGGTGTGACATTGTGTTCAAGCGCTCATGCCGGACAGATGTTGCCCACTTCCACTGATTGTCCTGCATCCTCCAGTGATGTGAAGGGCTTGTTTTGTTGAAGCTGTGGATAATTTTCGGCCATCCACTCCCTCATTCAGACCTCCAGTGGCTTTGGTGGTGCTTTTTGTTTGAGTGTGGCCAAGTGTGCTTTTTCTTCGCGCCAGCTCATTATTTCTGCCTTCTGTGAGTTGTTGAACACTTTCCACTGCTCCTTAGCCTCTTCCTTCCATCGTTCCAACTCTTGCTCATTTAATTTTCTCTGAGCGCGCTCTGCTTGGTCCCTCAAGAAACCATCATGCATCACAACTCGGCCAAATGTCCCTTTAATGTGTCCACCATCCTCCTTCGACTTCTCTGCTTCTTCCCACGCCAAGAGCTGTGTCTGAGCTTTAGACACATACATTCCCCCTAATGCCAACTGGGCATTTGCCGCATCCACTGCATCAATGGCTCTCTCCACCAACACTTGGGCCTTCCGAAACTTGTGCCACATTTCTTGGTTTTCTTGCACTAATTCGAGGCAAGTCTTGGATCCTGAGTCGTGATTGTCTGCAAGATCCCATTTAATTGGGGGTATGTCAGAGACCAGGTTGAGATGAAGGAAAGTCTCCATGGCGGAGGGCTTCGGCCTCAGCGACTTATGCCAGGAGCACTGTGCCAAGTAACATGTCCATGCCCTAACTTACTAACTGGCAACCAGAACTGCAGGGGGTAAACTCTAGTCGATTTTATTACTGAAGTGTAACCTATGTACAAGTTGGATATATATATAGTTACAGTGAAGACGGGTCTGCAAATGGTGGAGCCGAGCGGAGCGGAACTAATGGGGTTAAACATTAGCCGACTGAATATTACCGACGAGTCGGGTTACGGGGTTAACGGAAAGGCAGGCGATAACCCAGAAACAGAAAGGAGGGATAGGCCCGAAGGTGAGCTCTGCAGGGCAGGTGAGTGTATTGCCCAGTGGAGGTGGGAGTGCGCTAGCGGACATCGGAGCTGTCCGGAAGTCTTCGGGGCTCCGTACTTAGGGAGGCATAGGTAATAAATTGAAAGGAGGGGGTGGTGACCATCGAGGGGTACCAAGGGGATTGCGGAATGCGGGAGCTCCGAGGTTAGTGAAGAAGGAGCAGAGGTATACCGGAGGGATCGGAGGGATCGGAAGTTGATGGCCGGGGATGGATATGACAGGGTAGATCACTAAGTTGGCCATATGCATGTTCAGGAAGTTTGAATGTTGAACGGAGAGGTGAGGAGGACACAATGGAATTTGTGGATGAAGAAAATGACATAATATGTTCTAGGTCATTGATGGCACGCTTCTTTGCTCAGGCATGAGCTGGGGGAAAGGTAAGAGTCTCATTGGGGCTGATGGTGGTATTCTCGGTGCTGAGCATCGTACACCTGGTGCCGGAAGATTGTGGTGATGTGTGGAGATTGTGGGTTGGGATGTTTGTGATTTGAGAGACAGCAAGCAAGGTGCAATTGATGATTGGTCTGTCACTTTCATCATCACTAACCTCGTTGTCTGGAACATTACTTCCACCTAGGTACATTCTAACATCCTGTGAGTTGTCCATTGGTGAAGGTGTGCATTCCCATTGGTATTTATGAGACATCAGCTGACTGTGAAAGTGCATAATGCGCTTAACAGGTGAGGCCACAGGGAGAGGAAGATCTTCTTGGGTGGAATGTTCAATACTCGGTGCAAGTTGTTCTGGGTGGATGACACTTGGGTTGACTGGATAGATGCCAGTTATGCAGAAGCTGGTGATAATGTGAGCTGGGGTTATGGTGTCTGTCCATGCTTGACTGAAGACTGATAGAAATGAGGATTTGTTTAGCTTCCTTGGGTAGTTTCGTAAATTAAAAGCATCATGCTCCTTTGAGAAGCCCCGCTTTAAGAGGGAGAATATAACAACATCAAGCCCCTGGAGAATGTGTGTTGTGTGTGCAGGATAACATATAACAACAATGTTGTGGTTGTGTCAGGAACGTGTCAGAAGCGTATCCGGGTGACCTGCGAGGCGCACGAGGTCATCCGGGCTCGTAAGGTCGGAGGGGCGGGACTTTAGCTTCAGCGACTCGGGTGGAGCGCTGCGCTTCGTTCTTACGTTGGTGTCCCAATTTCAGACAGAAGCCTTACGATGAGGATAAGAGTTTAGAGGGGGAATCCAAGTCGATATACGAACTGAGGTACATCCGGTGTAACCTACACACGTTATAAACACAAGTAACTAAATGAGACCGGCCCGGAAGGAGTGGCGGATCAAGCACGATATTAATGAATGAAGAAAGGAACAAATAGTTAATATCGGCAAACTTGATCAACAAAAGGCAAGCGAGGAACAAAAGGAAAGAACAATAGTCTGTAAGCGGACAAAAGAGAAAAGGCCATCCGGCCGTCTAACAAGCCGTCCGGCTGGGGGCGGACAACAATGAAGCGGGCAACCTAGGTTGGAGGGTACGCGTGCGAGGGAGGAAGTGCGGATGAGGGTGACGGGTGGACGGATGGGTGGACGGATGATGATGATAGCGGGAGGGACGGGCCAAGTGGCACTAGGACGCGTAGAGGGAAGTGTTGGATATGTCGGGTCGTGACAGTATCCCCTTCTTAGGGCCGACGCCCCTGGAGGCCCAATTGGTACACGTGGGAATCGTGCGGCCAATTCCGAATTTGAATCCGCGTGTGAAATCAAACATTCGCTCCATCAATTTGACTAAGTCCAGTCATTACTCAACAGCTCTACTCAATAACCCCGCCTCTATGTCCAAAACTCTTGAACTGCACAACATCGCGTCCTGGGAGGAGGAGGACATCCAGGAGGCGACGGACGACGAGCCTGCCATGATGCAGGCAAAGCTGAATGAGTGGGTGAGGCGCAAGGCGGTCAAAAAAGCGGCCGAGGCAGCTAGGCGGGCGGCTGAAGAGAAGAAAAGGCGTGAGGAAGAGGAAGCCAGGGAGCGGGAGGCAGAGGCGAAGCGCCAACAGGCGCGGGCGGCTGGGTCGTCCAAAGGCAAGGTGAGTAGCCAGCTTCTTTAATCACTTACTGCCACGAGATCCCTGAGGCTAACACAAGTATTTTTTTGTTTTTGTTTTTTAGCGCAAGGCCTCAGTCGACCTGCCACAGGCTGCAAGGGAAAGGCCCCCTTGTGGTCGTTGCATCAAGTCCCAGCTGGTCTGCGAGCGGGGCAGGTACCAGGCGTGCACGAACTGCACGCGCGCCAGGGCCAAATGCGACCTGGTCACGATTCGAGTGGGGACTGCGATGCCCTCACAGCAAAAGAAACTGCGGGTGATCTCACCCAGGGCGCCAGTACACGCGTCTGAGGATGGGGGAGATGATACGGAGGACGAAGAGGATGATTGGGACGAGGATGGGGGTGATGTGGAGAAGTGGGGTGAGGCGATCGTTGACACCCTCAAGGAGCTGACTGACGCTGTGAGGCAGTTGCCCAGCGAGGTCGCCAAGATTACGTGGGAGGAGAGGTCGAGGAAGAAGAAGGAGAAGTCGGAGGGTGGGGGAGCGGGTGACCCGCCCATGTACACTTCCCGTGGTGTGGGCGCGTCGCCCTGAAATCATCATTTTTTTTTGTTCTTTTTTGTATATACCTCCATTTGTGCCATACCCTAATCAACATGGCCAGTTGACGCGCGAGTACTCTAAGAAAAGTGAGGGCCCGGCTTGTCAGGATACAGCGCGTGGAAGTCAGAAACCAAGTCAGAGGCATGGCCAAGCTCTGTGGCCGGCAACCAAGAAGTCTCCTCGTCCGTCCCATCATACCCGAGCCAACGTACCAGGTACAGTAACTTACAGTTACGACGCCTACGATCCAACTTTGAATCTAGTATTTCAGCAATCTCATACTCAGGTTCACCGTCGATCTCAACGGGCGGAGGCGGAGGTTGTACGCGGTTGGGAATGGTGTTGGGGACGGCCGGTTCGAGTTGGGACACATGAAAGACCGGGTGCACGGCTCTCATAGTCTCAGGGAGGCGGATGGTGCGGGAATGGGTTCCTGGCGCGGCGATGATCTCAAAGGGCCCGAGGTTCTTTTCTGAGAGTTTCTTCGAGGGTCGGGTGGATCTAAAATACTTAGCCTTAACAAAGACCATAGTACCAACCTCAAAGTCGGGTGCGGGTGAACGCCTAGCGTCCGCAGGGCCCTGATAACGCCGTTGCGCTGAGGACATTTCCTCACGTAGGAACTGATGTAAGGAATCGAGATCAACCGAGTACTCTTGGGCGCGTACTGAAGTCAAATCTCGTTCCGGATGGACGGAGAGGGTCGGATGGTATCCCTTGTTGGCAAAGAACGGAGAGACGCCAGTAGTAGCATTAGGGGCATTGTTGTACGCGAACTCAGCCAGGGGCAATAGCTCAGCCCAATTATCCTGCTGGTAGTTGCAATACACCCGAAGATACTGTTCTAACGTCTGGTTCATCCGCTCGGTCTGACCATCCCCTTCTGGGTGATAACCCGAAGTGAAGTGAAGGCGGATGTCAAGAGCCTTACCTAGAGAGTGGAAGAAATGGGATACAAACTCGGATCCTCGATCCGAAGTGATGTGGGAGGGTACGCCGTGTTTCGAGAATACATGGAGGAGGAACAACTTGGCGAGACCGAGCGCATCAATGGTATCGTGCGTAGGAATAAAGACGCATTGCTTTGAAAGACGATCAACGACTACCAAGATGGCCGTGAAGCCAGAGGATGGGGGAAGCTGTTCAATGAAATCCATGGATATCGAGTTCCACGGGCGACCGGGGACGGGGAGTTGTTTTAGCAAGCCATAGGGCTTGTGACGAGGGACCTTGGCACGGGTGCAGGCAGTACAGGACGAAACATAGTCCTTGACGAATGAGCGGATACCCGGCCAAGTATACTCTCGATGGACCAGATCCAATGTGCGGTTCTGACCAAAGTGTCCGGAGAGTGGATGGTCGTGCTTGTATCTCAAGATCCTGAGACGAAGATCGTTTGTGTCCGGTACGTAGATACGCTTATCGAGCCTTAACAGGCCGTCCGTGTCTAGGGACCAACGAGAGTCTGCAGGGATAGGATCAGAGAGATATTCGGCAATGGAGGGGTTGGATGGCAGGGCGGTGAGAATGTCCTTGTGGATAGCTTCGACGTCAACCATAGAGCTGGCCCGGAGGACTGGAGTGGCTAGACAAGTGGCTCGTAGGGAGGCCGAGAGCTGTTCTGTGGTAAAGACAGGGCGAAAATTCTGCGGATTGACGTGGGCGTAGTCCCTATCCCCTTCTTTGGGGTAGACGTCCCAGCGTCTAGTCAACGCATCAGGCTTCGCGCCAAGTCTTCCCGGACGGAAACGGACAACCATGTTAAACTGCGAGAGAAACTCTGACCAGCGCGCCTGCCTGCGGGTCAAGAGTTTGGTAGTGGTGAAATATTCCAAGTTCTTATGATCCGTGACAACGTCAATAGGAGTGCCAGAGCCTTCAAGATAGTGTCTCCAAGAGCGGAAAGCTTCAAAGATAGCCAGGAGCTCCTTATCATGGGTATCGTAGTTGAGTTCGGGCGCTGTCAGCGTTCTCGAGCGAAAAGCAACCAGGCGAATCTCATCATCCTCGCAATGGATGGAGAGAATGC